TGCACCCTGATTGGCTCGTCTCCCCACAACCCTTCAGTAAAGGGGTATCCAGTTGCCTACCGATGGGCTTTGAGTGTCCACTCTGCACTCACCCACCTTTACAATGATATGGTTTTTTGTTCTTTGATGCTTGATACCTGATCCCTTCGACAGCTCATGGTCACACAGGTTGGTGTACTTCTTCCATGTGGGCTTTGTTGCTTCTGAGCTAGTTGGCCGCTTGTTTATCTTCAAGCCTTTAGGACCGCAGACGCTGTATCTTTTGATAGCCGGGCACCATCAGCTTTCTTCACCACCTTTGCTTATGTTCACATTTTTCTTCAGCTATCGTTTCGGGGAGGTGTGCATCCTGGAATGCCAATTTAATAGAACAATGTGTTCTTGCAATGAGTAAGTGCTTGAGTGGAGGCACTATGTCCATCTGCTGCCTTAATACTAAACCTATAGATATATACGTGTAGATGTTTCCCCACACTCTTATATAAATATAGTTACATATGTACATTCCAGTCTTAAAACCTCTATGCATACCTTTTGTCCCCTAGGCCTTTTCTCTATTTCCCTTTACTTTCCTCTTGTCCCACTATCATGCTCAGCCTTCATTTGGGTTTCAGTGATTTCTCTCGGTTACATTGTCCAGGCCTCTCACATCCTCCTTGCCACTAGTTTTGGATCACTTGTTGCTCCCCTGTCAGCAGGGCATTTTTAAAGTTAAGATTTCCCGCTAAATAGTTAGAAAGAGTCTTTTAAGAACTCGTTTTCAAATGAAATACTTGCTATCATCCTTGAGAAATGTAAGCAATCGGAGTGGAGGGAGAAAATAAAGAAAGAGAACGCACCCAAACTGCCCGCAGGACCCTTGGGTGGACCTTGTCCGGCAGCTCTCTGGGAAATGCATGATGTCTACGATCAGATGGCACGTGATCTGCAGAGTCGTGCAGAGAAGAGAGCTTTCTTCAAAGTCGTCTTCAAGAAAGGAAAAGGGACCTTCCTTTCTTTGGAAAGTGGGAACACGGGGGCATCTACGAAAACAGCGCCTGTGGGAAGTGGTGGGATCGCGTCCCCGTCCAAATATCTAACCCCCATCTTACAAGGGGTACCCCTCCCCAAAAAAACCCCAGAAACTTGGCTCCTGCGGCACGCACCACTGCACCCCACCCCCCACCCCCAATCAACTTCACCGTTCTCCAGCCTTGGGAACACGTCCCTCCGGTTTGGTGGAAGGTTATATGAGAGGAAGAAAACCGCCCCTAATGTTTAGACCATCCCCTGAGAAGTCCAGTCCTTAGAACAAGACTTCACACTCGGTCAAGCAGAGGATCAACAGGGGAGACGCAGTAAGACTGTCAAGGATATGGATTGACCCATTGGGGACACCCGTGGGCTCAGCTCTACTGATTGTGAGGGTGGTTCAAGACAGGGCAGCCTCTGTAGCTCTTGTCAATAGGCTTCCTGTGAGTCCGACCGAGCCATGGTGTCTAACAAAGCAACCTCTGGAAGCGTTCCGCATATGAGGGGCAGGTGGGTGGATGGGAGGCCTGGGGTGAGGCGGCAGGAGGAGCTAGAACCAGGAGGTGGGGCAGGAGGTGAGGCCAAGGGGCCGGAAACAAAGCAGGGGGAGAAAAAGCAGCCCTGAAGTTTGGGAGGGACTCTCTTGTAGGAAAGTCTTCCTGTTGAACTTGCCAAATGAACTCTCAACTGGTGACAGGAGCCCCCTGTTGAACAGAAACTGCTCGGTGGCACCCCCTCTGGCGCTGCTCTGGGCATCTGCCACCGCTAGGTAGGCCTGTGTGAGAGAGCCTGCCCGTCTCTTGCCAATGACTCGCGGGCTTTCAGAGTATGGCCATTCAAGACGTCCAAGCTCCTTGTGTGTTTTCGCAACTCTTCATTTGAAACGGTGTCACCCTGTGGACTTGATAATACCACACGGGGCCAGGGACCCTCGAGTCGCAGAGGAAGCCTCGGCAACCCCTGGGAGCACGGTTTCCATGCTTCGCATCCCTGCTCCCAAGGACAGGCTGGCTGTGGAGAATATCATCTAAGCTTAACGAATCCACGAGAAACAGAAACCAGGATAAGAGCCCACCCTGCTCCTGCTAGCTTCTAACACGGGGCTCCCTTCACAGTGTCCCCTTCATCCCAGCCTAACACCGTTAAAAAGAAGCAGAAGTGGGGCACGTGGGGGGCAGAGGGGGGAAGTGGCTCTGCCTCAACATGGGAAAATCATCAAGGCTTCTGAGGTGAAAGATGGAAGCCTTAGGTAGAGAGCAATTCTGCTTTAAAGAGATTATAGAAAGGACCAATTGCTCTGACCTGGCTGATATTCTCATACCGTCTTTTATAATAAAGTTTGGACTCAATCTGAAGAATTGTATTTTACACCCAGGTGACCATCGTGTGATTGGGTTTCTCCCCTTTTGTTTGTCTCTCCTGTGCAGTATATCGTGGAGTGCCACGGAGTCACACTTCTTCCCCAGTTCTTGGGCATGTACCGGCTAAATGTTGATGGAGTTGAAATATATGTGATTGTCACAAGAAATGTATTCAGCCACCGTTTATCTGTATATAGGAAATACGATTTAAAGGTGAGATTTCATTTTTTGAATTTTTACTAAAGAGCTCAAGTTCCCCCATCTATATTGTACATACTGTAGTTGTAAAGACTGTCATTGAACACGTTAAATGCTCAGGGGGTGCTTACAGTCTAAAGCCCCGAGGAAACTAGTCGTGTGCTACTTCATGTTATGCCAGCATGGCTTTCCACCCTTATACATGTTAGAAATAAATAATTTATACATGTTAGAAATCATGCCCGATATAATTCCACCAAGATCCATTGAACACCAACTATATGCCAGGCACTGTGTGGGGTGATAAACAAACCAGACCAGACCTAAGCTGCAGGGGCTGATGCTCCGTTGGGTGGAGCCAGAAAATAAGTAAGATTAGTAAATGAGAGGGCATGTTAGAAGGATTGAGTGCTAGTGATAGAAATAAGGACGAAAGGAGAAGGATGCAACTTTGTATACACTGTGGAGGCTGGTTTCACTGAGAAGATGATGTTGGGCCAGACATGAAGGAAGTAAGGGAATGAACAGCAGAAAGAGTATTTCTGGCAGACAGAATAGCAAGTTCAAAGGACCTGAAAATGCATTTCAAAGACCTTTGAGTATGAAGGAGGCCACTTCTGAGAGCCCAGTGTTATGATCTGACTTCTAAGATCACTGATTGTCGGGATGAGAAGACACTGAGGTGAGACTGTCCCATGAGTTGGCAAACTGGCACACATTCATTCCAAGTCCAGCCTCTGGCCCATTTTTATAAATAAAGTTTTATTGCAGCCCAGGCCCACCCATTGTTTCTGTGGTGCCTGACTGCTTCTGTGTTATGAGAGCAGAATCAAATAGCTACAACAACGATTGTGATGAGCCGGTGAAGACTAAGGTGCACCTGACCCAAGTCATGGGATTCTCAGTTGCCTCGTGTGCATGTAAAAGTCAGACAAAGGATAAGGAAGACCAGAGAAGAGTTGATGCCTTTGAAGTATGGTGTTGACAAAGACTACTAAGTATGCAGGGGCTTGCCAGAAGAATGAGGAAATCTGTGTTACAGGTCCAGCCAGAATGCTCCTTTAGAAGGAGACAAGACTTTGTCTCCAGTAATTGGGCTGCTTTCAAACAGGGACTACTTCCTAGAGGAGGCCGTCATGCTTGATGAATTAGTCAGTGTGTTAGTCTGGGTAGACCAGAGAAACAAATCCATGGACACACATGTGTATAAAAAAGAGATTTATATACAAGAGGAATTGAGCATTGAGAAAACATCCCAACCCAGTCCAGTTCAAAGCCGTAAGTCTGATATTAGCCCATATGCCCGATACCAATCTATAAAGTCCTCTTCAGACTCTTGAGACATATGCAATGAAGTCAAATGCAGGATGATCACAAGTCAGTGGGTAGAAAGTCTTTGGATCCAGTGTCATTGGAAACATCTCAGCGCTGGCAGGGCTCTCTCTGACTTCTCCGGCTTCCAAGGTCTGGTTGCGTCCATGTGCCTTGTCTTCTGCAATGTCTCTCAGGGAGTAGCAGAGAGAGAGAGTATCATCTGCCTCCAAGGAGGAAGTCCCAGATTTCCCAGAATTCTCAGGAGAAGGCCATGCCCACACAGAAGTCTCATTGACTATCTCCAGATTGACAGCCAGACTCCACCCCTACACTCTTAATCCTTAGACTGACACCAGATGAGGTGAGGCCCACAGTCACTGAAAAAGAGGAAGATCCTCAGTAAAGTAGACCCCGTGGCTGCACCAGTGGGCTCGAGGATAGAAATGACGGTGAGGGTGGCACAGGACTGGGCAGCATTTCACTGTTGCCCATTGGGCCGCTATGGGTCAGAACTACCTTGATGGGACCCCGCAACCAGGGAGCTGAGCATCGGAGAGCCTGTGACATGCTGAACACCTGTGGTCCTTTTCAGAAAGGTTTTCCAGCTCTCGTCTACATCATCGGTTGTCAAAACTTTTTGGTATCAAGTCCTCTTCATACTTTAAAAAGGAGACTGGACCCCCCAGAAAGCTTTTACTGATGCGGTTATTAATATTTTAATATTAAAAATTAATGTGAGCCTTTTACATACGTACTTAAAATCGTAATCAATCATGCCTTAAAGCATTTTTCTGAAAAACTGCTTGGCGGAAACAAACTGCTCTATGAGATGTGGCATAGTTGAATGCTTCTGCAAATCTTTTATGTCCGGCTTAATACAAGACTATCTTATCAGGTACTGCCCTCAATCTGTTATATTAAGTGTATTAAAAAAAATCTGACTTTAGACAAATATTGTATGTAATTGGAAAGGTGTAGGGGAGTGTTTTAATAACCTTTTCAGGGGACTGTGGATGTTCCAATTGCTACGACAGCAAAACCCCAGAGTATAATTTTTTCAAAGGCGAGCTATATTGTGGAATCTGAAATCACCTTAGTAAACTTTCTGTGTTCTTTTACACTAAAATCATTTAGTCTGCTTTGCACTTTAAATGCCTGATTTTGTAATTAGTGACTAGTTGTAATTAGTATTGAGAGATCCACTCATTTATGAAGATACTCCAAATGCAAATGCCTGTCATTGTATGAAGCAGCTTTAAAAAGGTAGTGGAAAAAGTCATTATCTTTTTATTCCACATTTCCACAAATTTTCTGAAGCTCCCTCAAATGACTTTTTTTTAATCGCATTCATATCACTATTGATTTCATTAGAAAATATTTAAGCTGTCGAGTTCAGGTGAGATCCAAGATGTTTTTTTTCTATGGGATATATTTTTTAATCATTTTATTAGGGGCTCATACAACTCTTATCACAATCCATACACACATCAATTGTTTAAAGAGCATTTGTGCATTCATTGCCCTCATCATTCTTAAAACATTTCCTCTCTACTTAAGCCCCTGCCATCAGGTCTTCATTTTTCCCCTCCCTCACCGCTCCCCCCTCGCTAATGAGCCCTTGATAATTTATAAGTTGTTATTTTGTCATATCTTGCCCTGTCCGACGTCTCCCTTTACCCACTTTTCTGTTATCCGTCCCCCAGGGAGGAGGTCACATATAGATCCTTGTAATCGGTTCCCTCTTTCCTACCCATTCTCCCTCCACCCTCCCAGTATCACCACTCACACCACTGGTCCTGTAGGGCTCATCCACCCTGATTCCCTGGATTTTCAGTTCCTATCTGTACCAGTGTACATCCTCTGGTCTAGCCAGACTTGAGATCCAAGTTTTTTTTTAATTCTAATTGTCATGTGCAGGTTTAAATTCCGTAAGTAACTCAAAACTCTGTAAGTTGTTTCCCTGAGATGGGAACTTCATGTTATTCAACTTTTGAGGAAATATTTGCCAAATCTGAATACCCCAAATTTGGCAGTTCTTTCCAGTCAAAATGTAGTGCCATGGGAGGGGGGATTATATAATGATTCATTCAACTCATAGCTCCAACCTTACCAAAAATAATTGCTTTGATGGAATTATTGTTCCTTTGTTTTACAAAAGCACTTCATGGATACTTCCCACACATAATATTGAAAAGATGTGTAACCCAGAGTCAAGATTTAATGAAACTGGACATTTTTATTGCTTCATCAATGACCTACCATACTTAAGTGATATTAATATGTGTGCACTTATAGAGAGAGTGTGTGCATATATGATACTAATAACAAACTCAAACTCCCTGCCCTCGAGTGGATGCCGGCTCATAGTAACCCTGCGGGTCAGGGTAGAACTGTCTCGTGTGGTTTCTGAGACTCACTCTTTACGGTCCTAGAAAGCCGCATCTTTCTCCTGGGCTACTAGTGTAGTGTATACCTTTGAGATACTACACTATAGAGAGAACACTCTGGTGGTGCTGTGGGTTGGTTAGGTGTTGGGCTGCTCACCCCAAGGTTAGTGGTTCAAACCCCCTAGGCACTCCATGAGAGAAGGATGAGGCTATTGTCTCCCATAAAGATTTACAGTCTTAGAAACCTCTAGAGGTGGCTATGAGATGAAATTGACTCTACTAGTGATTCCATGGGAACACACACACACACACAAAGTGTATGGGAAAATTCCAATGTATTTTAATTCCATTTTCTACGTACGTTTTTGATGTTCATATATTTATAAGAAACTAGATTACTAAAATGTCCAACAGTTTTACCCACCTTTGTTACTGCCCTGTCAGAGCAAGTCCAACACAGTGAAAAGACGGTGTCTTCCTACTTCTATGGAAGTAGCTTTGACTTTGCATCTCGGAGTGCCAGCCTGAGAACCACACACTGAGCTCTGCCGATCTTGATGCCTGGGTTCTCGATCCAAGAGAATCTAGGAGCACCGAGTGAACTACACCAGTACAGTTTAGAGCAGTGGTTCTCCACCTGTGGGTCGTGACCCCTTTGGGGGTCGCACAACCCTTTCACAGGGTCACCTGGTTCATAACAGCAAAATGACAGTGATGAAGTAGCAACAAAAATAGTGTTATGGTTGGGGGTCACCGCCACATGAGGACCTGTATGAAAGGGTCTCAGCCTTAGGAAGGTGGAGAACCACCGCGCTACCGACATAGAAAGCCTGTCCTCCCATCAGCTGGCGAGCAGGGTGAACCTCACCTCGCTGTGCAGGGGGGTCGTAAGATGATGGGGAATTTGCCCATATAGTATCCGGCATTCTGCAAACCTACCTACCTACCCCTGCCGCTGTGTTGGGTCCAAGCCTACGTAGGATTTCTAAACGGGAGCCCCTTGCCCACCGGGAGCGTGTATTCATTCTGTCTCTGTGTTTCAGGGCTCCACCGTGGCTCGAGAAGCGAGTGACAAGGAAAAGGTAAGTGCCGTGACCTCTTCTGACCGCACTGCTGGGGTGCACGCCTGCAATATCTCACCTCTCGGGCACTGTGCTTTCTGGCCGGTCTCCCCTCTGGTGCGCCGACTGGTTTCCTCT